ATCTGCATATCACTGGTTGTTAGTGAGCCTTATGCCAAGTTTCTGGGGCTGTTTGCTTAGCATACAGGCTGAATAAGCATAGTGACAGGATACAGTGCTCACACACGCCAATGGGACCACGCCACCCTGTGTGCTACTGTCCGGGGTGCCAAGGAAGCCTGGTCTACCTGGTGGGATAGGGCAGGATGGGGCGACTAGAACCTCGCTGCTCGCTCAGGTGGCTCTGTAGAGATTCACCAGGAGCAGATTGGCAATGTACAGTTCGAGATGCTGAAGCTGAATCAGCATGTTAACAGCTCCGGGGGGGGCGGGGCGACTAGCGTGCACAGTGAGACGCCTGAGAAGCACTGACTCAGAAAGACAACTAAATTAGACGCAACAAAATTAACTTTAAATTGATTATTTCTGCTTGACTCCATCTGGTCTGGATGAAGCATTTTCTTGGGGCCTGACCTTTAAAGGAAAAAGGGCCCCACGTAGCCGACCCCGTGCAGGGCTTTCAGAAGGCAGGTTTCGTGGGGGTTAAGACCCGCATTCAGTTGGGAGCTATGCACAGACCCAGATTTACAGCAGGGATTCGTCCCTAGGGCTCTGTCACGCATCGGGTCTTGTATACTTGATTACATTTTCCTCATTATTATTGCTTTTTATTATGATATCTTTGTAAATCTGATCTTTGTCTTTGGGGGTTGGAAATAGTACATATACATTTATAAATAAGACATCAGCAAAGTACGTGCTGTCTTCACACTGCATGTAGTATAGTTTACCATCTTACTGCCACTCACAGTGGCCGGCTCACAGTGGCCCTCTAGGAAACCCTGTGGGCTTCCGAGTCTGTAACTCTTCATGGGAATTGAAAGCCACGTCTTTCTCCCTTACTAACAAACCCAGAAAGAAAACGTGCAGTTTGTTGTCACTCAAAAAAGTCTGACTTTTGGTATGAATTCATTGGCATAATAACCTTAATGTCTCAATTTCCTCTTCTGTAAAACGGAGATGGAAACAGGCCTTGCCTGCAGGGTAAATCCCTGGCCCACGAGTACACGCGAGCACAGACGGCCGCTGCGCGCACCACCCACTTCTCCAGCGGCAGCTGCTCCTCGCAGGAGATGGATGTAGTATGATACGGAAAAGGGAGTTTCGTATGGCGTGTGGTTATGGGCTGTATTTCCTACTCACGGTTTTTTGTGGGTTTGTTTTGAGGCTCTGGGTATGGGGTAGCGATGCCCTTGAGTCAGACCGGTGGGGAGGGAGCCTATGGTTTCTT